CACACACACACACACACACACATACACACACAGCCCATCCAAGCTACCTCCAGCCTTACCTCTCGCAGCGAAGCTTTAGCCCACTGTGCTGTTGTGCCTCTGCAGTGCCACTGGCTGTGCCTTCAGTCCACCGGCTCAGATGAGGCTTTATCCTCAATGTAATTTTTTTTTTTCTCTCCTCCACTGACGGTGAGCGTTGCTTTTTCTTTGCGCCTTCGCGTCCTCAGATGGCCTCTCGTACAATCCAGGTGGTGAAGAGGAGAGGCGTCTCCTGTCAGGCTGAGGAAGCTGCTGCTGCTCCTCCTGTATGTGTGTGATGATGCTCTCTGTAGCTGGGGACTGTGAAGACAGACAGTGTGTGTGGGAGTGAGTGAGTGTGTGTGCGTGTGTGTGTGAGAGAGAGAGAAAGAGGGAGAGCAGAGGGGGTGAGGCAGGACCTTCCATGCAGCTATCAGCCCTGTTGCAGTTAAATTTAAACCACCCTCTCTCCTGACACCTTGAGCCACGACTGCCCACCCTCTACACACACACAGGGCTCTGATGGTACCATATGGCTCTCGACTGAGCCCTGGAGAGTGTGTGACTGTCCCTGGAGAGAGATAGAGTGTGTAGGGTGGCGGAGGGAATATCTAAAGAGGATTTTTTTTCAGATGTTAGTAAGAAAATCCAAGAAAAAATGACATAAACTGCTATTTTATGCATTTTTTAATCTTCATCCTGCAGTCCGTTGTTTGCATTTGCCAGCTATGTGTCCCATAATGCACTGCCTCATGCATTAAATAGGAGCCGCTTTGCACCCCCCCCCCAGGACCTGTAAACAGATGGCGATGTTTGAAAGCAGTGGTGTTCCTCAGGTGATTTATTCTTTTTCACCTTGGTGTAGGCTGAGGTTACAACAGAAATAGGCATCTGACACTGACTGCCAACCCCTTGGCTGCATTTAAAAAAACTGGGTTACTTTCTGATGCAGCAGGGTGGGGTGGGGTGGGGTGGGGTGGGGTGGGGTGGGGGGGTTCACAGAGAGTTAAGTCACAGTAGCCCCTCGGCAGACGTCACAGCAGTAATACAATTATGGGCATTGTTCGGCTTTAGAAGACATTCAGGGCGAAAATAAACTGCTTTTATTCGAAGTGGCTTTCATATGAGGAGAATGTCTGAGCAAGGTAAACAAGTGACCTGCTGATTTGTGTGAATGTGTTTTTTTTTTTATGTGTTTGCGTGACCTGAATTGCGTCACGACTCCAGCTGTCAGTGGTTCCTCTCCTTGACATGCCGCCATAAATTTCCCGGCCAACTGCTACTATTTCACTTCACACAAAAGATCCTGCAAAATTCCTACATGTATAATTTAGAATTTAAATGTTGATTCCTCTAATTAACACCGTCATAAAATAGCTCTAGGCGAAGGTAACAGTCTTCTTGTCTCATATCTTAGAGCCTTAAAACGTTAAGAAATAGCTGATGATTCAATTTTTGGTGATTGTCAGAGATTTTATCTACAATTCCAACGACATTTTATTTACAATTCCAACGTAATGTAGTGTGGAGCATGTAACCCCAATCAGTTTGCATTTAAGGCTTGTACGTGAAATGTGTCAGAGCTCTTAGTCGAGCAGTGAGGACAAAATGAGGTGAGATGCTTTTGTCAAAAAAGAAAGTAAGTGGGTTTTCAGGCAGTGGAATATTGGAAGTGACTCAGCTGTTCTGGCTGCAGCTTTTCGAAACGGGGCGCACGCCTACACAAAAATCTAGCCTCACTGAAGAGTGATTGACAGGTAGATGAAATGCATTGCAATTCAGCAAATTAAAGCGTGTAAAGAAACAGCAGTAAATGGTTTGCAGGGTCATTGCGGCCTCAAAGCAGGCAGTTGTGGCCCCTGAGAAATTCTGATTACATTAGTCTATACAGCAGCGACAATTCTGTGTGAACCCCCTTAAATTCTTCAGTACAGGAGACCGCAACGACACCATGATCAGACATCCCCCTAACATTGCCCCATGCACCAAAGTGTTTTTAGAGGTTGAAGACTACCACGTCTTAATGACAAAAAGCTAGAGCAGGAGCGTGCGAGGTCTTATTCTGACATCTCTACTCTTGGCACTCAGTGACACATTGTTGTGGATCTCTGGTATATATATGTTGTCATTCTGCATGGATTACAGCCCATACTGCTGCTGAGACATATATCTAGTTCAGCACTGACAGCTCTGAGCCCTGTGCAGTGCAAGACCCGCGTGTTCTCCAAACCCTGAATAACAAGGATCTGTTGAAGATTATATTGTGAATGGATGATATTTATGATCGCGCTCTGTAACTTCATGTGATAACATGTGGAAATTTAGCCAAAGTGACTTTGAATGTCTGTATTTGTTTTGTAAATTAGTGCATATGACATTGTGTGGATTCTCCGAACATATTTGGATGCAGGACTGATGGAGAAGGTTTTACGGCCTGCATGTTGTGCTGATATATAAATAAATGTAATGTGGCAGCTGTTAGTTTCTATGTAATGAAACTACATGCACGTGTGGTAAAGTGTCATATGTAATGTAAGAGTCTAAAATACATCCTGTGCTGTGCTGAATTTGTAGATTTCAAGTGCTGAAATCTGTCAAATGCAAACCAAAGTGTCTGCGTGTAAACAACAAGACTAAGACCTGAGATTGGACAAATGACTAAGGGCAAGATAATGGAACTCCCAGCAGGTTCAGAGATTTTAAAGTGTAAATCCCACACTGGTCTGAGGCATGCAGTAACTTTACACTGGTCACTAATCTCAAACATCACGAAATTAACCTCACTGACAGCTCCGAGGGCGGCACAACAGAAAGTGCACGTCTGGAAGTTTCCAAAAAGCCATCTCTCATCACTCACACATGGTTGAGGGTGTGTGTGTGTGTGGTGTGTATTTATGATTTGGACACGTACAGTATATTGCACATCTTTATTCCCATGTGAGAAAACTATTAATCATTCTATTCCTCCATCTCCATATTCTGCTCTCTACGATGTTTACTCCATTAAAAAACTGATTGTAAATGTACTACTAAATGTGTCAGAGGAGTTAATCATTCATCTTGGAGGGATATAATCTTTTCAGTCTTCCTAGCAGGGTGTGCAAAGTGGGCATGGGGGGCCCCAAAGTTGAGAGGTGACCCCCAACGATCTCTGCACCATAGTCTGACACATCATGAGGCCGCGTGCCACTAATTTTAGACGTTTAGTTGAAGAGTACAAATATCTACCCTGTATCATGTATTTCTTGGAGTGGCTTCAGTATAGTTTGATGTAGCTGCCCCCCCTGCCAGGTCCCCTTTTGCCTGGGGCCCCTTTGAAATTCAGCTGCTCCATGCGAATCAATATGAAATCACTTACATATAATAAGTGTGTGTGTAGTGACCGTTTTTATCCATCCAACATGTACATATACACACTTTGAGTCTGGTATTCAAACTGGAAATATTTTCCATGTTCTAATCAATTACTGGACCTTTTTCAAGAGATTGGTCTGGTGCATATTTTGCAAAAAATAAAGAAACGTTATTTTAAAGACACATGTACCACAATTTGTTCCAAACATTTTTCACTTTCTATATTAATCTACAGTAGATTCATTCATTTTTGTCCCTAAACACAAAACTGTCCTTCCTTCTCACTGTAAAACCTCAGACCCGTCTTCCATCAGTCTGTCAGGATGTCGGAGCACCTGTCCGGTCCTCACTCTCGCCCACATCCACAAGCACCGGGGAGTTGTTTTATCAGGCCCTTTACGACCCATCTGCGAGGCCTGTTCAATACGCTGCATGTCGGAGCAGCTGTAAACGGCCTTTTAGGACACTTCTCTATGCAGAGGGGACTTTTACAGGACGCAGTGGTCAGTGGAATGCATGTGTGCAGGCTTTTAGAAAGAATATGTGATGATTTTAGGCCGACACTTATGCACCACACTGGATTCGTTATGTCAAATGTTCTGTGTGAGTTTAAGGTCATTAATAGCACTTTAAAACACAGTTTTTCTTCTTCTATGAGGAAAGTTTTCACCAAGGTAACCGAGGCCCATGTGCATAACATTTCCGCCCTCTGACATAACAGACGCACGTCAGACAGGGATCCTTACACCGGAGAGGAATTGCCGGCATGAGGGAGACGATAAAAGTCATTTTGAATTAGATTTTTTTATTGATGCATGATTTATCAGCCGCAATGTAAAAACATGCAAATATTTTCCACTCGGCCGTGCCAAGACAGTGCCACACACTCCCTGACCCTCTTACTCCTTCCTGTGCGCCTCGGCATTATGGGAGCGGACAGTTTAAAAACAGAGGTATTTACGACTCAGCACTCGCCTCTGGAGTTCTTGGAGCTTTGCATTGGCAGTGTGACACCGCCGGGTCAAAAATAGACAAGGTTTTGGTTAGCGATCTGGCTATTTTGTAACAGGACCCATGTGTCTGTCTGGACACCTGCCTGTCTATCTGTCTGACTGACAGGAGGGGTTATTGCAGATACATCACATCACTAATTAATTTAGATCCATTACTTGAGAAAAAGTAAATGTACTTAGTTACTTTCCACCACTGTCCTTTTTTATTTTGATCAACTTCCAAGTCTTGAAATCCACTTTCAAGACTTTTTGGGAATATTTAAATAATTGTACTGCCTTTAAGGGCTTTATGTAAAATGGGATGTGTATCATTTAAAGCTAAAACTGCTTCATCAACTTTTACCTGTTAAAACTAAAAAGAATTTGTCTCCATCTACTGGTCGGAGGGAGAAAGGAGTCGTCAGCCACAGGTGAAAATATTGAAGCAGTGATAACGAGTAGGGAGGAACAAACCCATGTTACCTCAACCTGAGGCTCTTTCTGCTTTTTGAAGTCAAGACAAACCTCAGACATGTCAGCAAGACATTTTGATCATCAAGGGAATCGCATCCCATCAGGCCGTCAGCTCCCGAGGACGCCGCCTCACGTGGACGTAGTAAGACACTTGAATTTCTGTGTTGAGGATCATGAAGACCAGGAGGAGCCACCGCAAAACATGGCGGTAAGTGCAGAGATCTCTCTCTTCAACTTTTAACTTCTTGCACATTACTAAATCTGTCATCCTCTTACTTTTCCACAGGGAGGGAGCAGAGGGCAAAGTAACACTGACGAGAAGGGGATGTTTGATTTCAACACCCCTGAGACAAAAACAGGTACAGAAATGGTTCCTGCACCCACATGTTACTCAGATGGTCCAATTTTCCAAGTTGTACAGCTGCTTCTTTGTTGTCCATATATTTATGTATTCATAGTGTTTAAACAAATATTTGCATGATAACATATGGCAAATTAAAAGGATGAGATTTGACGGCAACATAAATAATTTAAAACATCTATATTGGCTTAAAAGTGGTCTTGCAAGTTCAGATTAAATCCCAATATTTATAGTTGATTATACAATTATGTTATTTGCTTTATAAGTGATGACGTCAGCTCCTTGTGTACCAAAGTTTTCTCAGACTTTTCCAAACTACTCTTGTGAATTTTCCCAGTAGGAGAACTCATATTTATTTTAACACCACTGCTCTTCTTAAAGTTTCCTTGCACATGACATTGGTAATAAAATCTCATTTGGAAAACAAGTCCTTATAATTTAATCATAATTAGTAGTATTATTTACTTAATGTGTGTACTGCAGGATAATGACATCCACTGGTTTTATTTTACGACTTGTAAAGCTTGTAAAGCTACAGTCGTAACTGCAAAGTTGTTTTGCTGCGTTTAATTGATTCCTTGTGGTTTTAATTTTCTTGTCTGTCCAGAAAACACCCCAGAGCCCTCGTACCCTGACTCCATGCTAAGAGGGATGAAGGGGTATCAGCCGCTTCCGGGCGACTTGGACTTCATCAAAAAGATGAAGGAAGAGAAACTAATGGGAAAACTGCAGGTTTGTCTTTCTCTCTCACTGCTGATTGCTATCACGTTCTCTGGTCGCATACTAATTGCAGTTGTTGTTTCCGTCGTCAGGAAGACCTGGGAGAGGTGCAGAGGTTATTGAAGAAGGAAAAGATGGCCCTGAAACTGGCGTGTGCTTCCAGGGATGTAGCACATGCTGAACTCAACAAAGTGGGTTTCTTTTTGAATTGCAATAAATCGTTTTTATCTCTAGAATAATAATATAATAATAACAGGCTAAAATATGGATCTAAAGCTGATTCTATGACACATCTGACCTTGTTCCCACCGCAATAACTGTATCTGAATGCTCAACAGTGATTCTGTGACAGGCAGTTTATATATTCTCTAAAATGACATTATCTTAAAAATAAAAAAGATGGATCCACTGGCATTTACGGTCTGTTAGATGTTCATCCAGGGAAGGTTAAGGATCCACAAATGCCCCGAGCCTGCGGTATAACCGGAACACACATCAGTAAAAGTGCGCAGGCTCCTTGAACATGAAGAAGAGTTGGAACCATCCGTCTGTTGTTGTCTCTCAGTTCCCGTCCTGTGACGAGCTCGCCGAGTGGGTGACGGTGGTCCTCCGGATGACATCGCCATTGCTCGACTTAACAGACCTCGATGCCAAGTCTCTCCTGGCCGCGGTAACGGAGAAAAACGTACGGAGAGCCACGGACGAGAAGAGAGTCGAACTCGCTCGTCTGGAGAAGATGGTGGAGGACAAGTAATGACCAGCTTGCACAGATAAGCTACATTTTGCTTCCATTTGAGTCATTCAACAACTTCGATGATTCAAAATCAGTGTTTATTCCTCTGTTTTTATATATATACATACATCATGTTCTTTCAGTTCTCTTCCAATATATGTAATATTCAAATAACCCAATTTTCAGAACCGTCAAGATATTCAGTATAATATAATATAATAGTTTGTATTTATACATATAAATAATTAATCTGCCTAAACATACAACAAACCTTGAACAATTCAGTGTTTTATCTTCGGCTCCTGTGCTTTTATGTGCTCTTATGAAACTTTCCTGCTGTTCTAAAAGGATTTTAGATTTTAGCCTTTTCAAAACACTGATTACTTATTGATTTTCTACTGGATTCATAATTTCCATCATAACAGATATCCAAGTAAAATGTAGGCTCCAATACTAACTTCAAAAAACATGTGATAGGAGAAAGGAAGAGTCTAAAGAGAAAGGACGGCTTGAAAAACGAATTGCATCCAAACAGGTGAGAGCAGCCACACTTTGCTTAATATTTTACCTCTGGATTTTCTTTTTTTACTTTTTCAAATTTGCCTTCAGCTGAAGATTCAAGGGATGATGAACCAGTTATCTGTCCTGAAGTGTGAACTTGCACAAGAAGAGGTGAGAATCGAGAAACTTAAATTGGTTGTGCATCCAGGGAAAGAGAAAATGTGGTTTCACAGGAGGCCTGCAATGTTCTTCAGATGCAGATCAAGAGCCGCAGAGAAATCAAAGAGAAAGAAGCAGCGGAAACCACCTCTGAGGAACTACAAGGGAGCAATCACAGACAGGAAAGAAACAAGAAAAAGTTGCAAGACAAAAAAAACCAAAGCAAACCGACAAGGAGCAAACGTACAGACAATCAGGCCACTTTGAAAGAGGATCGTGCAAGTAAGAACACAAACGAAACTCCATCAGCAACCAAGCAGACAAGACAGAAGTCTGAAGACAAGTCCGTCAAAGCAGCCAAAGCTCCACAAAAGAAAGTCGGGGAGCAGGAGGAGCCTGTTCAAGCCGTGCGAGGGAGCAGAAAACCTACTGCTGCTACTCATGCTGCTCCACCATCCAAGATTCAAAGTAAAGTGAAACCCGTGGAGGCCCAGTCCGCGTCGCAGCCGGCAGCTCCGTCACGCAGCAGAACGAAAGCTGCCGCGGCGCCGAGTGATGCTGGGGAGAAGGCCCAAAACACTGGTCTGAGGAGATCTAAGAGGATAGCGAGCAGGAGCTAAAGGTCGTGAAATTTCGCAACCGCGTAACTCATCTTTTTTTATTCTACCCCTTCAAGTCGACTTTTTATTTGTCTAGCACTTTTTTTGACCGTATACCCTACTTAGTAAAGTAGACTTCAGACCAATAATGTTATTTTGTCCCATATTAAAGGCATTGTATGTATTTGCAATTTTTAGGAAGCTGTAGACTTTCCCACTGTGTATAATAAAGTAATAGTAAGCATATTTTTATGAGTGAAATTAATCCAATAATGAAGAATTGAAGGTAAACAGCTCAAGGCCGACATGGCCCTCAATCGCTATTCTTGCAAATCGGCCCCATAAGCTCACGTTACAACTGATTGTTCTCTTTCTATAAATAAGCAACCAACTGTAATCATAGACCAGTATGTGCTAATGCAGAGAGTATTTTAATTGTGAGTTTATGAGCTGTTTCTAATTTCTCTCTGGGCCAGCGGACATTATTTTCATCACACCTCTTCTCTCTCTCCGTTTGCCGCCGAACCACCGCAATTTTCCCCCGGTAATTCTTGGACAGCCGAGCGGCGGTGTGGGCGTGAGGCTGTTAATCTTGCATTAACACCCAATCAATCGGTCTGAGCGGCGAAGAAGGAAAATCACGACTCTGCGTCTGAAGCGGAGGGAAAAACTGGTGCTGACAGCTGGAACGTTTCGAGGCACCTTCTTAGGTTACAAATGTAGTTCAAGCTGACGCTCATATTTGCCACGATCAGTTCTATTTTATATATTTGTTTATTTTTCCGCCTCAGGTCTTGATCCTTGACATTTCCTGCAATCCAAGAGCTACATTTTAACCCCCTTGAACCTGATGCTAACACGTTTTATCTGATTGTCAAGTACGATGACTCAGCCGAGACCAGAGTAATCCAAGCACAGGGCAGGAAGCATGCATCCACATCCTGCTATTAAGTTTAATAGTCTGATATCAATAAAGTCGCTTTACCTCCAAAAAAACAAGAATTTTCCTGAAAATTGGCTGCAGAGAGTTCTTTTTAAATTTTCTCTTCTCCCTTCATTCTTTTTCTTTTTCACCCCCCTCTTTTTCCTCCGCGGCTCCAAGTTTCTCTGCTCGGGTTTGCCAAACCTGGAGCCCTGAACTGCTTTGCGAAAGTCAAGGCATGGGAATGTTACCTCTAATACGTCAATTTCAGAAATCAGATCTTGTTTACGCACCGGGTCCAAGCAGACAGCCGGGATCCTGGCCCAAGGAATTGTGGGTAATGGATTATGTACAAATTGCTTGTGTCTTTGGCCTTGTGGCTGGATAAACTTCCCTCTGTTTTCAGGCACTTGTGAAATGACCTTGATATTTTTCCTATTTATGAAGTAGACATGTATAAAAGCTTTTCTGTCGGTGACCTCATAATGTTTGGTTTTCATATATTGAAGGCAACATTCAGCGAATGTTCAAGGTACTAATGTAAAAGTAGGTATAAGAATATAATAATTAGCTGCTTCAACTAAACTATTCTTTTAATCTGAAATTAATTTATACAGTTATTTAGTTGTGTTGTTGTTTTATTCATATCCAAAGTATTTGATTCAGACACTTTATGGTTAATGTGCATAGACACTGCCCCCTACAGGTTGAAACCCTGTTATTTCAACTCAATTTTGCCTAATTTCTCCTCAGTCCCAGTTTGAGCATTTTTCAGAATCATGCAGTGGTTGGGGTTGAGCTCAGTCTTTAGGGTGAAGTTAAATTTTATTGACCATACTTATGTAGAAATTTGAGGCACATTTACATGATTTTCTTTTCATGCTACTCTAAATATTGCACGTTCTACTCGAGTACTTACATGACGGCTGTAATTACTTAACAAATTAAAATATTTGCACACAAAACATGATCTTTTGACCTTAAAGGGACAGTTCGCTGAAAAATGAAAATTCACTCACTATCTACTCACCACTATGCTGATGGAGGGGTGGGTGAAGTGAAAATTAAATACAATTGAAGTAAATGGTGATTCATTTTTCCCTCTCTGGTGCCACGTCCACACACACACTGCACACAAACTCTCAACCAAGGGTGCTCGCATGGTAGAAGTGACATTTAGACTAAAAACTTGTGTAAATGAGGCTGTTTCGAGTAGAATTAGAACTTACGGACACGTGGATGACACCACAGGAGCAGTATGGAGACATGTCATGTTTTTTTCCTAGTTTTTTCACATTTGAAGAATTGATTCCCTGTCCCTTAAATTGTATTTGATTTGCCTACAACGCAGTTTACCCCTTAGACTCCTAGAGTGTTTTGTGGACTCAAACACTTCACCCACCCCTCCATTGGCACAGTGGTGAGCAGATAATGAGTGAATTTTAATTTTTTGGATGAACTATCCCTTTAAGGTTGTTCAAACGAGTGTTTAAAGGTACAGTGTGTATAATTTAGTGATATCTAGTGTTGAAACTGCATGTTGCAGCTGAACACCCCTCACCTCACCCTCTCCTTCCAAACATGAAAAAGAACCTGTGGTAGCTTCAGTTGTCATAAAAACTCAAAAGGTGTTTAGTTTGTTCAGTCTGGACTAATGTAAAAAACACAGCGGCCTCCGTAGAGAGGGTCCCCTCCATGTAAATATAAAGTATTTAAATATAAAGGACCTTTTCTGGGGTAAAGAAAACTACAATTCATACAATTTAGATGAAATGAACTAGTGACAACATCATGAGGATTATTCTACATGAAATATCTGCCAATAGATCCTTTCACCTAAATCTTACACACTGGACTTAAATGATAAGTAAATGGACTGAAAATTTAATTGGCCACTTAAGTCATTTCTAATCTAAAATATGAAACATTTAATTGTTGCAGCTTTTCCAATGTGACAAATTACAGTTGTTGTTGATAATTTGTCTTAAGTACTTTTGAAGTTTGACCTTACTGGTGGGGGGAAATGAGCAAGGGTGAAGATGTGAATTCAGGCCCTGCATGGGTAATTGTTAAATTATGACGGTTATTGTCCAATTGATACTTTGCTCAATGATAAAGATGTAAATGATCCATATCTGCCATTTTAAGCATCCATGAATGTGTGGAACAGAGTCAGTTGTGCAAGATAGTGTATATCTATGCAATAGAGGGCTAACATCTGTTAAAACACAAGTGTCTAGGTTAAAGAGCACAGCAGCAGCCTGTCCTTGGTGTTATTTAGTTGCATGCCGTCGTGGACCATCTGTCCTCCCCTGTAACGTTTCCCTGTTTAGCTTGGACCCTGAAACATGACTGTCCCCGCTCCCCTTCCAAGGAAAACCCTGTAAAAGCATTAGTCTGAGCCAGGGCCGAGATCCGAGAAGGTGAGGCCTGTGACATATGTTTGCGCCGTCGTGCCAAGTCCAGCAAAGGCAGAACCACGCGGAATGTGTCTCTGTTCGGAGGCAAAGTGTGAATCCTCATCGCTCAGGTCTCGTGCCAAACTGCACTCGGATCCCAAACCGAGAGAGCACTTCACGAGGGGAAGCGTCTCTTTAATGTGGGTTTTTCGAAATGGGAGAGGTGACCGCACACACCAAAGAGCTCTGGTTTGATTCATCGGACTGGTGCAGTGAGAAAGTACAAGGCTATAACTCGCGTCTAAATTCCTGATTGATTCAAAAAGCAATTTTGTAAGAGGGGGAAGAGCAAAGCACTGAATTCATTTGTTTTGGAATCTACCAGGAAAGGAGAAGTCCGGGAGGAAGGACGTCTTCGGAAAACCCAACTGAAAAATAAAATGGGTTAGACTAAACATGCAGACAATGCCTGCATGTGCACGGGGGAATTTGTGGATAGTGAACAATCTTAAGCTTTGTTCAAGCCCCTAAATCCTTTTTGTTAAACAAGCCTCCACCCACAGGGAATCTCTGCTGATCTCTCTGGAGTTGTCTTATCACATTTAAAGAAAATCATCTGCTGCATTATTACACCATCAGTTTTTAGGGTTTATAATAAGAAGAGGAGTGAGGAGTGTGCAGGCGTGACCGCAGTGCCGTTAGTCAGGCAGATAATTGGAGATGACGTCAAAATCACTTTTGGAAAAACTTTCTCAGCAGAGTAATTGGATGACTTTCATTTTCACCCACTATTTCACTCGCTCACTGACGTCTTATTCCTATAAGTATCTTTCGAGCATAAGGAATCTTATATCTTGTATGGCGGAAAATGCACTTAATTGTTTTTTAGCAGAGTTAGATCGAAAGATCAAGTATAAATCTGTGTTTAAGGAAAACTGTGTTGTGTTTTTGTATGTGCAGGCGAGAAAGAAAACAGTCAGCAACCTAAGTTAAAAGTTAGAAATAACGTGTGAATTGATTTTCTTTAGAGGTGTTGGTGGATGGACTCATGCTTTGTTAAGATGTACACGTTCATTATAGATGGATGAATGGATTGAACGATTCAATAACGAAAAGGACATTTTACACAAATCAACATAACAAAACCTTTAACACTAACGTTGCACCTTAAGCAGCGGTGGATTGTGTTTAAAAACTTAATAACTTGTGGAATACAGGACATATTTGTTGTATTTTTGTAAATGGGGGGGGGTAATGTCCTCCAGATGGGAGCAGTTTAAATGAGGTGAGAGGACGGCTCTCATCCATATTTGGTCATGTAAATCCCAACAGTTTATTGGCTGTTAGGACAGTTTTTCTCACAGTCTTTTTCTTTTCTTCAGTGCCGTTACCAAACCAACAGATTTATGAGGCATTTTTTTCCTCCAATATTCTTTTAAAAACTTCAGCTATAGGCCCCAAGATGTTTGGGACACTCTCCCAGGACTGGTCAGACTGCGATGGGCCCGTCTTAGCAGAGGGTGTCCTGGGTTCAAAAAGCTGAAAGACCTGTCGAAGGTACACAACTGATGATACGCTCCATCCGCTGGTGATCCGCTTCTGGTTGGCGACTTAAATGCGCAAGGGATATTCACCTTCATGTCCTATTTTCTAAAAGAAATTATACTAACTCATAGGAAAATGTATAAAACAGCTGTGGAGAGAATGTAAAAGCAACAAGCGACAATATAACCCTTTGTTGTAAAACCATGGTGGCCAATCAGGAGCCCAAAAATATTCATGAGTAGTTCTACTTGTTTGAAAAAGTTGTAACAAGCCAAACATTTGTCTTTAAAAACCTACACCGTGAGTTTAGCATAAGCTGTTTTCAGTGACTTTGCATGTGCATGAAACACATACAATAAGCTATGTTTTAAAAAAATACC